AATCGATAAATTTTTTCTCGGGGAATATTATGCATGTTCCATAACTTAAAAATCGATTTCGGCACATATCAAGTGATCCCTGGTATGGCGGTAAATTGATAAAAAAGTTGCTCAGAATTCAATTCTATACTCACTTTCATGGTTCCAAGCAATTATTCGAGAACATTGAAAATAGTTTTTTTTTGAATATTTCTCGATCTTAAGATCATGTTTTTTTTTTCTTTTGAATAAGTTGACAGTACTGATATATGTACTTGTACATGGTAAATCTTCATGAGTTAACGCGATCTATACCGGGTGTAACAGGATCATGGTACACCAACCCACTCTCATCAACTTATTTTGGTGATAAATCAAGCAATTTTGCATTTTTGACAGGATTTAATTTATTTTAAGCATTACACCTGTCGATATGAGTACATCAGACTCGATCAGAATAGTCATGGCACACTCAGATGGAAAATCAAAAATAGAATTAATATCAATATTGAGATTTGAGATCACTCCTGTGGTATCATTGGATTCAGAAAATGATGTAGAATTCGAAATGTATGGATAGACAGGGTGTTCCTTTCAAAAATAAAAAGTTATTACCATTTCCGGTGAAACCGGAAGTGGAAAATAAAAAACATATTCATGTCAAAATATGACAATCAAGTTGATGGATCATTCCAAATTTCCAATCACATCTCTAAAACTAAAGAAGATAAAGGGGGTGTATCATGATCCTGTAACACCCGGTATATGGAGAAGTAAAAGTAGCATGATTCTGAAATATCGTATGGACGGTGAAAAAATATCGAATATTTTCATAATTGTAAAGCTTCCGATTTATCCATTAGTGACATCATCTTTGTTATTTTCAATGGCACACCGTGAATTTCACAACGTTTTTGAATTCCTTTCATGATTCTGATTCAAATTCATGTATTCGAGTTTTTCTAGATAAAGTGACATGCACTAATATGCAGCCTATTGAACATACACCATTTTTATGCGAATTACAATTTCAAGTGAAATGCTGTGATTGAATCGTGAATATTTAAGGTTGAACGGATAAATGACCATGATCACGACCACTGAATAATTCAGAGGGTGAGCAAAAAAGTGGGTCCAAAAAGTGAATGTGAAACATTGAAAATCTCATTCTTTTTTAATGGAAACCCCATTCCCAATTCTTCAAACAAAAATTAGTCCTACTTTTAATCAACTTCCCTATAAAACCCATAATTGCGGAGATATTCCATGAATAGTACTCATCTGCATATTTACTGCCTGAAATTTTGGATGATCGAGTAGGCTGTGCAAATTATCTCCCAAAAAATGAATTAAAGTTGTTTATTTTTCGATAGATATTTTCCTCAGCCTACTAGAAAAATACAAAATTACAGGCAGTTATTGCAGAATCAAGTATAGTTTGACACGCCTAAGAAGTCCAGGGACGAAAGGGAGAGGATGAAAGCGTTCAGTACTCTGAACCTAGAGTATCTAAACAGTTCGGTTTTGCAGATGACGTCGCTTTCATTAAATAATGAAAATAACATAAAAAGTTTCCGTTTGAAAAAACTGTGATTTTCAATGTTTCACATTCAATTTTGGGCCCACTTTCTGCGCACCCTGTAAATTATTCAGTTTTGTCAGTGATCTTTTCCGATAACTAAGATGACTTCACTTCCGGAAAACATGAGTGATCCCGTGACATGTGTCAAAATTTGAAGAGAACGGTTGTGTAGAATATCTGCCTTATAAGCAAACACGTGAATATATAAAAAAATTGTATGGAAAAGTGTAAAAACAATTGTGTCAAACATCAAGAATATCAAGGTTTTACATTTCAAATCAAACTCTTAAGGGTTCAACAATTGATCACAGTGGAAGTGAACGAATCGTTTCTACTTCTCTTTCCTCCTTCAAAGTGATCATTTTTATATATAAACTGACCATCTCATGAAAAACGTTTATCTTTCTTGGTTTTTGTTATTCAGATCTAGAAGAGAATACGCCGGTCGACCAGCATAAAAAATGTAACAGTTATACGCTATGCATAACCAAGTATTCCATTGGGTCACTCTACATTGATTTGTCTCCCAATCCACGCGCAGTCTCTACTTTTCGCAGGCTCAGTCAGAATAAAAATGTTGGGAAGAATATGGCAAATGACACCTTCAGGCTGCGGAGCAAGAAAGAGAGAATGGTGAGATAAATGCAATACGGCATCACCGTGATCCGAAAATCCTACTCTCGACTTGCAAAAAATAATAGGTTAGGTCACAGGTCAGGTATTCTTCAGTTTTTTCGATAAAATTAACAACTTTCAGGTCCCATTTTCTATCGACCATTCAAGTATACGAATTGCAATACAAGATCTTACCTTATCACCTAGTAAAACTTGGACCTGCATCTCATTCAATGCTGTAACTTGGAATGTTATTTCAAATACATCTGACTGGAAAACTAATTGATAAATAGTATATTGTTTAAAAAGCACGGAATGATAAAGATTGCCCACGATAATGACGTTTGCAGTATGCGCCGTAGGCGAATGCTGCAATCATCCGAGTTTGAAATTAGCATTCCGCATACACAGCAGCATTTCTGATTTTTTCGACTTGTAGCCATCTGACTTACACATAACAATGCTTTGGCATCTTGTTATGAGAAACGTTGAAATTACTTTCTTTGCTTCCACTAATAAAAGATCATGAAACATAACCTCAATTCAAAAACATTTTTTTATTTTTTTCTCACACACAGAAACACCCTTTCACTTCTAACTCGATCAATATAATATTCCTTAGCGTTTTCATTGGCTTTCAGCAATAATTAACTTCACAGGCCAGTATATGGTGTATGAGTAAATGGCCGGTGGAGAGACTTTCGGACAGTGTTGCCTTACTGCCTCAGCACGGCTTTCTTTAGAGCCGGTTATCGAACAGTAGTCCAGTTGAATACATATTATGATTATCCATGGCGTATATTATCTGTTACATTTTAGCTATAATAACTTGCTTCAAAACGCATTTGGAAACCTATATGCTAGAAATTTTCATCAAAATCGGTATAGAGGGTGTCCAATAATTAGAAAACAATAATATGAACATGGGCCAGAAATGGTTTTTAATGGAGCTACAGCCACTTGAACAGGCTACCCTGAAGATGGTTTTTATTATTATATCCAAAACTGTTTGGGATAAAATAATGAATTTTGTGTGAGCTCACTTCATTTCGCTAGATTCAAAAATGTAAACAATAGTTATTTGTTTTACTAGGCATTAAATCTGCTTTTCTGCCGTGTGAAACATATAATTTTTTCTCCAAATTCGTCCAATTTCACGCAAACTTCAAATAATCCATCATTTTGTGTTCACCAACGTCAGTGTTAATTTTTATTACCAATTTTTTACTAATTATTACTTGGAACATTGCATAGCAACAAACTTTTTCTGCCTGTTAAGTGTCATTGAAAAGACACTTTTATTATCATTTGGAGAAAATAGTAGATTGTTTCATTAGGATCAAAAGTGACACTTTGTTTGACAAGCGAATTTTGCATTTGCAAGGCGGAGCGTTTAGCGAAGCCGAGCGAAAGCAAAATTTGCGATGATAATAGTGATTATTTATTTCTCCCCATACTACACTGTGTTTGACTTGATAACCAAATGAAGCTAAACAATATCGTTGTTTGAGACAAAAAAACTATTGCTTGCCGTGATTATTCAAAAACAAGTTATCCATTCCGAAAATAACGAATGAAATACAGATCAAGCAAGTATTTGAATCTTGAAGGCTTTCCTGATCAAAACAAAAATACTCAACTGAGATGTTTATAATTCCAATACTAAACTATAATAACGTGTATTTATATCTCCAGCATGGGTATGAAATGCCAAAACTGCTGAAATCGGAAACAAATCAGGTATGCGTCTCAACCCAAATAACCAACCGTCACAAATGTTGTTCATTCTTGAGGACGTCCAGTACATCCTTTTTAGTTCCTAGGAGCTAAAGTTCAACTTCAGCGCCTAGAAACTAAAATTCAACTTTAGCTCCTAGGAACTAAATATGTTGCCTAGCAACATACCTATTTTTGTCTCAGTAATAGAAACGTCAATTTAAGAGCTAATTTTGGTATCAAAATGGACGACTTTTGTGTCGGTTGCAGGAAAAAATATTTTTCAAGGATTGTATTCAACAGGGTTGGCTTAGAGACTTTCAGTCCATATTTTCATGTTAGTAAGTGTTTTTTAAATACCACCACAGAAATTGAGAATTGTGTGAATTCTTCATAAAAAAGTACTCTCAATCGAATTTAATAAAATCCACATGGAGTAAAGTCCACTTGAACAGGAAATTACATGTTATCAAGCATTCATGAATTTGAAAAAAATAGGTTTGATACGATTCTGATACAAATAATTGAATTAGCATCAAAACCAACCAGAATAAATAACCGCATAAAAAAGATTGGGTCGTCAAAATGTCAAATCGATTCGTTTTTTTTTTCCTTGATATTTTTACATATGCATTATCATTAGCATGTTATTTCATGTTCAAATTGATTCGAATCTAGAACAGAGCATTTTATCGAAGTCAATTAAGAGGCTCTTTTCAATAGAAAAATGTCAAAACTGCAAAAATGATTGACAAAAAAGTGAGGGCTGAAAAATACACTAAGCCAACTCTGTTTAATATGAATTTTGAATTTCGTTAACAGTAATGAATTCAGCCTAAAAAGTGAGGTAAATATATGAAACTTTTCTTATCTACTGCCAAGGTATTGTTCGCTGATCATGCGACACCCTGAATAATGCCATCACAATATTGTATAATTCATTGGAACCCAAGACAAGTACAGGGATATTTTTTGTTTCAAGCAAGGCGAACTTGTTTATAAAGAAGGAATATCTAACCTATGGTGGAATTAGTATGGTGTGCTACGACGCATCTTCGAATACGTCACTGCGAGTAAAACAATTGCTAGCAGTCTGAGCTCACAGTTATCAGTTCGCCCGAGTCGCCGTGATCATTTTGGTGCGAGTATAGACTCGCAATGACGTAGAAAAGACGAATTCAAGATACCTGAGTAGCACACCATATATATTTCCACCATGATCTAACCTAACGATAATCAGATCAGTCATGACTCCTCAAACTGTTACAACTTTGAGAATCCTTGATGACAGGGACAGACTCTCTACGTGGTTCTTTCACATTGAGTTTGTCCTGCTTAGATGGCACACTTTCTCTTCTCACTGCATGTAAGTGAGATATGAAGGTTGGAGCTGTCTGAGGAACGGTTGAGTGAGGAAGAGATAAGCTGGCGAAATCTTTTTTATTCGCCACTTCCTTGATCGAACTCAGAGTTTTACTAAGCCATGGGGGCCAACTGTTTTTAGCCGTGTTCAATTCTAACTCAGCAGATCTTAGTTGGTGTGTCAAATTCTAGAAATCATGAGTTAGTCTACGGAAATTAGGATTATGATACGGAATATTCATATCATATGATATTAGTGTGGTTTCAATTAAACAGGATGCCCCAGAATATGTGGGCTATCTCCCAGATTCAGATAGAATATATAAAAATAACATGACAAGTTCCTATAAACTTTTTTCTTTTTTTGTGCAGAAAAAACGACCAGTGCTGTACCTTCTGAATCATTTGAGGCCACATTTTTTATTTTGGTGGGTAGCATGTATACCAAATTGCATTTTATTGACATAACATATACAATGGCGGATCCAGGGATGTTTCCAATAGACATATGAAATAAGGTACACCGGGGAAAGTGTAAATTTGGGGCAAGTGGAACCCAGGCTGATTATCATTACATTTTTGTGTGTAAGGTCACAGTACTCAGTGATATCACAATTGAAAGAATACACGTGGTGATGTATCAAGATACCAACCCAAGAATTACGGTTCGACCTTGCCGATATTTCTAATATGTCCATTTACGTCGAATACCGAGCTAGCACGTGTTCGTTGTTAGTGTACAGTCGCATTAAAAAAAAGCGTACAAGTATATTACAGAGAGAAATTAACGTCATCCTATTTTGCATAAGACAGGCTATCGGGAATGATTGCTTACCAAATGTTGACAGTAAAGTTGTCATAGGTTCTCGAAAACACCAAGCATTGGCTGAGCCAGTTTTACACAACTAGAACTAGGATCCCGAAATCCTCTCTTTTTAATACTTGTACGCTTTTTTATTGAATACGACTTTACGTGAGCTTCAAATATTTGTAGCTCAAAAACAATACTTCTTTGTATTTTGAAGGTATGAAGGACGTATATTTTGTTCACATGGAGGAAAACACATAGGGTACCTTTGCCACATGAAAATAACTTATGGGGGAGAGTGTAACCACGTGTAACCTATATTAGCTTCCACTTGCTCATGTTGAATCGTACATTAAATACTCGTGATCTTCAAATGCAAAGTCAACAAATTTCTTCCAGACATGGTGCGTAACTACGTACGGAAAAAGGCGCCACTGGAATACTCCAAGGACAGTCTCAGTTAAACTTGCCCCATGGATATGGAGCAAGTGTAACCTGAGTACCGCTGTAATAAAAAAAAATTTAGATCAAATATTTGAGCTTTTATCTTGTTTGACATTTCCAGATCCTTTAAATTATTATCCATCAGTAAGCTGACGTGATTGGAACAAGAATGACTCATTATTATTATTATTATTACATATTTCGACGAGGCTTGAAGAGGGATATAATTACCTCCTACACAACCAATTCTTGGTTCCCAATTACTTCCCTTCAACTGCTTGCTTCCTAAGGTATGTAATTAATTCAATGTGTATGTAGCCATTCTATACCTCTCATTTCATCCTATATTCTCTCATTTCTCCTACTGAGTTATGTAACTCAATGTTTATATAGCCTTTTTTTCTCATTTCAACTTTTCATCTATGAGAAAATGAAGGCGAAGAATTCATTGGTCGTTTTTTTGAGGTAATCTCAATCATATTTTCCAATAATTGCTTCCCTCTTAAGATATTTTTTTTTCAATTGCATTACCGCCTTCCCCATAAGACGAAACTTGTGCGAGGTTAGGTAAGCGCATATACAGTGTGTTACAATTTGCTCCACCCCACCCCTGTACTTTAGTATTAGATTAATTCTGAAAATCCAAATGATCTACGAAAACTATTGGATATTTTTTCCGAGAATTTATCTGCACTTGAACAAATGAAATTTCCCACCGATTCATGGGATTTCCTGCTTGTGATGATGCTATTGAAACGTTTGGATCATAATATCGTTACTAAATTCGAGATAGAGCATGGATCTTCTGAGGTTCCAACTTATAAAAATCTGATTCTGTTCTTGAATAAACATTGCGTAGCCCTTGACACGCTCAACTTTTCACCCTCTGCCACTTCCTCAAAACGCACGGTTACTAAACCGCCTGTACCACCCTCAACGTCTCGCACGTCCGCATTTTTTATAAATAAATCTCCCGCCACGACGTGTGTCCTTTGTAAAGATAGTCATTCGCTATACACTTGCCCTGCCTTTGCTGTTAAGTCTCCTACGCAACGCTATGCCTTTTGTAGGTCGAATCACTTATGTTTTAATTGTTTGAGTGGCTCTCATGATATTCGGGCGTGTAAATCTGCATATACTTGCAAAAAATGTAAGTCTAAATTTCATCACACTCTATTGCACGTAGATAAATCGAATACCGCTTCAACCCCTATCGCTAACTCCCTAGGTGGTCCCTCGAGTACCTCTAACATTACTGACGCTAACTCGTCTAACCCGGGTACCACCTCGGCTGGACCTTCTACCAGTTGTTTCGCCGGACCTGAAGTTGATTTTCAAACAGGGGTATTGTTGGCAACCGCCTGGATTGATGTAATAGACAGTCGGGGAATGTTCCAGCCGTTACGCTGTTTATTGGATTCGGGAAGTATGACTTCTTTCATCACTCTACGCGCTGTTCATAAATTAAGATTACCTAAATCCGCATTTGATATCGAAATTAAAGGAATCGATTCCATGCACACTAATTCACATTATGGTCGAGTTACCCTTGCCGTTAAGCCTATAGGCGAAAAATCTCCGCTACTTTGCACAGACGCTGTGATCTTAAATAAAATATGCGAAAATTTGCCTGCATCACCACTCGATGTAGCTAGTTGGTCGCATTTGGCGAATATCAAACTTGCGGATGCCAAATATCATACCCCCGCTATTATTGATGTATTGCTAGGGGCAGATATATTTTCAAAATTTCTCCTGAATGGTAAAATTCCGGGTAATACGGACGAACCTGACGCCATAGCTACTGTCTTTGGATATATCGTGACGGGACGCATACAAACGATCACTCCTTCTGTTTCTTCGTTCTTTGGTCACTCGTCGAAATTTGTTGATGTTGAAGGGGCCATTAGAAAATTTTGGGAAGTGGAGGAGGTACCTGGGGTGAAGTGCGCATCACCTGAGGAAGAATCATGTGAAATTCATTTCAAGGCCACCCATTATCGTGAGGGTTCAGGCCGATATGTGGTCTCTCTACTTTTCAGGCTACCTGATGCTACCTTTCCATTTATGCGCGACTTAGCTGTCACCAAATTTATGTCATTGGAACGACGACTATTGAAGCAACCGGAAGTGTATGATCAATATAAACAATTCATGAAAGAGTATCTCGAATTAAATCATATGACACGTGTCTCCACTCTGTCAGCTCCAGAAAATGGATATTATATTCCGCATCACTGCGTCTTGAAGCCGGAAAGTAGTTCTACTAAATTGCGAGTTGTCTTTAACGCTTCGGCCAAATTTTCCAATCAACCTTCACTCAACGATTGTCTACTGACCGGCAATAAATTACAACAGGATATCGTCACAATTTTAGTTAAGTTTCGCTGTTATCAGTTCGCGGTGTGTGCTGATATAAAACAAATGTATCGCATGATCTTAGTCCACCCTGCTCATCGTAACTATCAACGAATTGTGTGGAGATTTACTCCGCATGATCCGATTGAAGATTTCGTGTTGAACACCGTTGTGTACGGTGTCACTTCTTCCCCTTTTTTAGCACTTCGAACTTTATTACAGTTGGCGGAGGACGAGGGTGAGAGATATCCCTTGGCTGCAGAAGCTATTCGTTGTTCATCCTACATCGATGATTTCGTTTGTGGCGCATCCACACTCGAAGATGCACGAAAATTAATTGTTGAATTAACTTCGCTATTGAAATGTGGGGGTTTCGAGCTCCATAAGTGGTCTTGCAATGAAACCTCTCTGTTGGCGGAGCTTCCTCCTTCTCATTTGTCGAACAATCCTTCCTCTCTTGATCCAGATGCATCTTTGAAGATATTAGGATTACACTGGAATCCCAAAGTTGATTGTTTCGAATTCTCAGTCAAACCCTCAGAGAAGCAGATATGTACTAAACGAATAATGCTTTCCGAACTGGCCAAGATCTATGATCCGTTAGGGATTTTGGCGCCTGTTACTTTCTACACCAAATATTTGATACAACGATTGTGGATTTCTGGAATCGCCTGGGATGAGGCTCCCAGTGATGAGATTATTCGGGTATGGACCCAGTATAAGACAGAGTTATCGCTGTTATCCCACTTAAAAATTAATCGCTATTTAATCTCAACCAAAATTTCAGAGTTGCACGGTTTTTGTGACGCAAGTGAGAGAGGGTACGCTTGTGTCATCTATTTGAGGATTATTGATTCATGTGATATAATTTCTACCTATTTTGTTTGTGGTAAATCTAAGGTGGCTCCATTGAAAAAAATCACAATCCCCCGACTGGAACTTTGCGCAGCAGTGATGCTTTCCAAGTTGATGTCATTTGTAATCAATGTTTTGAAAGACCACCTGTACATTACTACAATTTGTGCCTGGTCTGATTCTCAGATTACGCTACAGTGGGTGAAAAGTTCACCACATCGCTTTCAAACCTTCGTTGCCAATCGGGTGACCTTTGTCCAAGAAAAAATTGCTCCTGATTCCTGGTATTACGTTGATTCTAAAAATAATGCAGCAGATGTTGCATCCCGCGGGATCCTTCCCTCTGAATTGGTTAATAATTTTGACATGTTCTACATCCTTTTATGTGGATTTTATGGAACCAATAAATTCTATCTATCTATCTATCTATCTATCTATCTATCTATCTATCTAATTCATTATGGTTTCAAGGACCTGAATTTTTACGACAAACAAAAACCCCTTGGTTAGACCCTCCTGCTTCTTTGTTTCAGTGTGCTATGCCTCCTGAAGAAGAACGAAAGTATGCCTTTTTTGTTCACACTGGTTCTACGAATATTCTCGAAGACTTGCTTAATAAGTTTTCCTCGTTTAGGACACTGCAACGAGTCACTGCCTTCGTAATGCGCTTCATATTCAATTGTTCCAATCGTTCGTCACCTAGAAGGGGTCCACTTATTAATT